ACTTGTCTTCTCTTCCTTACCCCCTGATTCATAAATAGATGATGACATGAAATAAATATAACAGTGAAACTTCTTACAGTATGTGTGTGTGTGTGTATGTGTGTTTTTGTGGAACAAATCCAAGGACTGCCACATGCTAGGTAAACCCTCTACCACTAAGCTATCCCCTAGTTTTGAAATATTTTTAAAAATTATTTATATTTATGTGGTGCTGAGAATGGAACCCAGGGCCATGCTTGTGCTAGGCCAGTGCTCTACCACTGAGCCACAACCCCAGCCCAAAATGTCATAATCTTAATGAGCAAGTATCAACTACTTTGTTTGTTATAACTTAGAATAGATATGTATCAGAATGTGTCTTATTTTATTCATACCAGAAGAACTACTGAATATCTCCCTTGGAGAACTGTCAACTCTGGAAAGTTTATAAACTGGAAGATAATCCTCTGAGGGCAATCCCATTCAATTGCATATGAAATATTATTGAAATATTTTTCAAGTTTGTTTATTCCTTAATCTCAGGAATATGAGTTACTATTTAATTTATTATAAAGAAGTTTAAAGAATGAAGGGGGAATAAAATAAAATAATTGAAAATAATACATTCTTCCATTTACCACCATTTGGAAAGTTTCATTCACTTATTATTCACTAATAAATGATATCAAAGGGGGGGGGGATGAAGGGGGAAGAAATATCAGGATAAATTATTTTAAAGGTTGGTCCCAGAGAAAGATCAAGATTATTTGGTATCATTTCACTCTAAATAACCTATCAATGATATATATAATATCAATTCTTTAAAGCTGAATCTCTGAAAGATTTACATGAACTATTTAAGAAAAGTTTTGTGATTTTATGGTATTATTTGCCTTGTATCTTAATAACTTGCCTTTACAGTATACATGGATGATATACTGGAAGAGCTATATGTATGGGAACTTTAAAAAAGACCTGTTTTTTTTTTATAGAGTACAAATAATAACCTTGTAATTAAACTGAAAACAAATAATTGCCAAGAAGCAATTATCATTCAATTAAAGAGTAATTACATGGTTATTTGTGCCCTGTAAAATAAAGCATTACTGAGATCAGTAATGCAATCAATATTTTAGCAGAAACAGGATGCTGCAATGATGGACCTTTCAACCTATGCTGATTAAATTGTTATCCATATAACAGTTTCCCAGTTAAATCACTACATATTTATTTGTCTTGATTAATATGTAAATATCTGTCTGATGCTAATAATGCTCTTAAAGATAAGAAGTATGGAATTATCATCTATCAAAAATGTTCTTTCCCAACTTTCCACAGAATCCTCCATAGTCTCATCTTATCATCAGAATTGCATTCTTGGAAATGAAATGCAGAAACTTTATTTCTAGGAATGTTTTCTATAGAGAATTATGGAGTCTAATAGTAAGACAAAACTTATGTATTATTTGTATGGAGCTTTACTAATTGTAAGGAAATTTCACAACACTAATGTCAGTTAATCTACTGTGGGGCCCTAGTCTTCACTTCAAAATTAAAAGAAAGGCATCTCAGTGTGTGAATTTTGCTCACTGATACATTCAAATGTGTTTGGAAGCAGATAGCATACAATCATACTCACTAAAGTGTCAGTAATAAATTTTATATAATAATGAAAGTGTATATCTTTATCACTAGACTATAAGATCCTCAAAGGCAGAACCTGTTCTAGGTTCTCAGGATATAGCAATGAAAATAAATTAATAAATAAACAGACCGAAAAACTTACCTTTGTCAAGCTTTTATTTTGACCTCAGTTTTATGGACCCCTGGCACTATGGCAGGCACATACTAAGCACATACCTCAATATGTTAATAGATGACTGAATAAGTGATATTGCCTTTGCATAAATGTGACTGTGTGGGTGTTTAGTCCTTAAGCAGATCTACATGATTCCAAAGCAGTGAAGAAAATAAGACAGTGGCATCTATCTGTAGTGATCTTTACATTTTTTATACTGTCAGATTTGAGTGGACCTTATTTTGAAGCTTCTAAATTTCTTTTGGAGTCTAAGGTTTTTTTTTTTAATAAAAAAAAGATCTCCTGATGATTAAATGATGGAACTGGCTCTGTTCATGTTTAGGAGAACGCAACAAACTAAGGTATACGTGGAAACTGTAGAAACAATCAAAAAACATTTCCTACCTATGTCAATTAACTAATTTATACTTGATGAACCCTACTGTGTGCTATAAACCATGAGAATTTCTTAACATTCAATGACAGTTTGTCATTAAAACCAGACATGAATGCTTTCTTCATGGAAATTAGCTTCTAGTTGGGGATACTCCCTATCATACTAACAACATAAACTTACAAACTGAGAAGAATATTATAATGTAGAATATGACCTCTACAGTTTATAATGTATGTAGTCGATATTACCAAGCCATTTGTGACATAAGTCAGGAATTCTCCAATAGAGATCTCATGATAAGAAATGTAACATTTTTTTTTTCTCAAATCTTGCAATTTAAGGTAGAACCAGTAAGCCAAGAAGCCTGTAATGTCCCCCTATCCTAGCTCAACTTATTGGAAAAGAGCTGTTTCAAATAGTGAGGACTGACTGAGAAATTTGGAACAAAACTGGTTAAACCATCCATACAGCTTTTCAATGGATGTTGTTAGCAGCTGGCAGTCATATGGCTCTTCATATGGAAATAGAGCATCATGCTGCTTAGTTTTGAAGGCAGCCTGTCTGAAAGTAATCTGAATATGGAGACAGCACTGAGATGTTTACAGTGGAAAATTACAAAGGATAATCAGGTGAATTTAAATAGAATTAGCAAGCTTGAGATCTCACAAATGGAAAATGACATGAGGAAACACTTAGAAAGTATAGGTTGGTGAAGATTATTTAACAAAATAGCATGCCTTCTTCAAGTGACTGGTTATACCCTGGTGAACATTCAGTGATCCTGGGATTCTTTAGGATATTTGAAGTAAATAGCATATTTTTCTTTTCAGTATTTAAAAGACTTAGGAAGCCATAAACAGTGAAAACTTAAACAAGGTAATAACACCAAATTAAATAAAATAAATTGGGGTCAGAATCAAGTAGAAATGAGAGAAGAATCAGTTTGTAATATTGAAATATTAAATTTGAAAACAGAATTTGTTGTGCTTCATTGATACACAATATTTATGTCCAATGGAAGAAAATAACACTAGCACAGTGAATGATAAATGAACTAGGTAATAGTACCTCTGTGTAAAGTTGCTAGAAGTTGTCTTTATTTAATAAAAGCAGAGTTTGTCTTATATTGATGGAGCACTTTGCTACTGCAAAGTTGATAGAATGTGCATTAACTTAAATTTCTTCATGAACCCAAAGTCATTTTTTTGGAAATGTTGTCTATCTGAATGAACCTCATATGTTTTTCCTGCTTAAGTTATTTAATATAATATTTTGTAATATTTTGTCAAAAGCCCTATTATTCAGCTTTGTAAAATGAATTTCTACTAAAAGGCAGCAGCAGAATTGTAGGCAACATAAGAAAGTAGTTTTAAAATGTATCAGGATAGTTGAGAACAACTTGATCCTGATATTCTTTGACTTATAATTTTTTCAATGTGATGAGAGCCTCCAAATGGTGTTTTTGGTACACTAACTGGGTAAAGTACACAAAGGACATGATAGATGCAAACTTATTTATTTATTTATTGTATGAATAAGCATTTACAATTGCAATTTCTGAATTCAGGAGAAGAATGTACAAACATGATAGGTGAGGTTTAACTTTAGTCTCAACTTAAAAAAAAGTTTAAAATACCAATCAATCTGAGAAAGAAAAAGACAGTCTAGCTTGCAAATCTGTTAGGTTTTATTAGTATAGGTACTTGGAAAGTGAACTGCTTCTTATTTAGCAAAGTTTAAAAAATAGGTATGAACCAAACATGGTGGTGCACACCTATAATTCTAGTACTCTGGGGCTGAAGCAGGAGGAACACAAGTTCAAAGTCAGTCTAAGCAGTTTAGCAAGGCCCTGAGCAATTAAGCAAGACCCTCTCTCAAAATAGAATATAAAAAGGGCCAAGAATGTGGTTCAATGGTTTAATGACCAATGCAAAAAAATATATATTTTTTCTTTCATACATATATACACACAAACACGTT